GCAGGCTGAGGCTGAGGCAGGCTGAGGCTGAGGCCGAGGCTGAAGGCAGACTGAGGCTGAGGCTGAAGCAGGCTGAGGCTGAGGCTGAGGCAGGCTGAGGCTGAGGCTGAGGCAGGCTGAGGCTGAGGCAGGCTGAGGCTGAGGCCGAGGCTGAAGGCAGACTGAGGCTGAGGCTGAAGCAGGCTGAGGCTGAGGCAGAGGCAGGCTGAGGCTGAGGCTGAGGCTGGCTGATGCTGAGGCTGGCTGATGCTGAGGCAGGCTGAGGCTGAGGCTGAGGCTGATGCAGGCTGAGGCTGAGGCAGGCTGAGGCGGAGGCCGAGGCTGAAGGCAGACTGAGGCTGAGGCTGAAGCAGGCTGAGGCTGAGGCAGAGGCAGGCTGAGGCTGAGGCTGAGGCAGGCTGAGGCTGAGGCAGGCTGAGGCTGAGGCTGAGGCACATGCAGGCTGAGGCTGAGGCAGGCGGAGGCTGAGGCCGAGGCTGAAGGCAGACTGAGGCTGAGGCTGAAGCAGGCTGAGGCTGAGGCTGAGGCAGGCTGAGGCTGAGGCTGATGCAGGCTGAGGCTGAGGCTAAGGCTGAGGCTAAGGCTGATGCTGATGCAGGCTGAGGCTGCGGCAGGCTGAGGCTGAGGCGGAGGCTGAAGGCAGACTGAGGCTGAGGCTGAAGCAGGCTGAGGCTGAGGCTGAGGCAGGCTGAGGCTGAGGCTGAGGAGGCTGAGGCTGAGGCAGGCTGAGGCCGAGGCCGAGGCTGCAGGCAGACTGAGGCTGAGGCTGAAGCAGGCTGAGGCTGAGGCTGAGGCAGGCTGAGGCTGAGGTTGAGGCAGGCTGATGCTGAGGCAGGCTGAGGCTGAGGCTGAGGCTGATGCAGGCTGAGGCTGAGGCAGGCTGAGGCTGAGGCCGAGGCTGAAGGCAGACTGAGGCTGAGGCTGAAGCAGGCTGAGGCTGAGGCTGAGGCAGGCTGAGGCTGAGGCTGAGGCAGGCTGATGCTGAGGCAGGCTGAGGCTGAGGCTGAGGCTGATGCAGGCTGAGGCTGAGGCAGGCTGAGGCTGAGGCCGAGGCTGAAGGCAGACTGAGGCTGAGGCTGAAGCAGGCTGAGGCTGAGGCTGAGGCAGGCTGAGGCTGAGGCAGGCTGAGGCTGAGGCTGAGGCAGGCTGAGGCTGAGGCTGTGACTGCGACTGCCGTTGCCACTGCGACTGTCATCGCGAATGCGACTACGACTGCGAGAACAACAGAATTCTACAACTGGATTCTCATCCGAATCTTAAGGGGAATGCTTCCAGATATGCTCCTACACATCGATGTTAGGTTGCTTTGCCGGGATATTTTGACGAGCGCATCTTGGATTTCGACGGTCCAGTTTTCGTGGGATGTCTGCAGCGGGAGCTCGCGTCAACTTTCAGATTGAGTCTCGTCGTTCTCATGATGGTCCCCTATCAGGCCAATCCGAGTCCCCCGTACCCGAGTCTCACGTCTTCCCGACAGGAGCGGTTCTGCGTCCAGGATTTGATTGTCGCGGGCCTGCAAACGGCCCCCGAAGGCCGAAATCGAGGAAGACCACCTCGAGGAGGAGGAGGAGGAGGAGGAGGAGGGGGAGGAGGAGGAGGAGGAGGAGGAGGAGGAGGAGGAGAAAGAGGAGGAGGAGGAGGAGGAGGAGGAGGAGGAGGAAGAGGAGGAGGCCTGGACCGGGCGAGAGAGCGTTGCACCTCTTTCACAACCGGCGTTTTCGCTCCGCTTCGGGCCCCAGGACCTTCGCAGATCGACCCGGCTCGAAGAATGACACAGAAAGATGGGGTCCAGGGTTGAGTCGGGCCTGTCCCTTTACAGGGGGAATATTCAAAAATAGTGAAGAAATAGTCTGGGGACTATGTTTCGAGTATTTTCGGGCATCTTTCGAGTATTTTCTGGGACTTTATTCATTTTTCGCCCACAATCCCCTAGTAGGGGGACAGGCCCGACCTATGTCTAGGGCCCCGGGTGTGATTTTTCAGGATGCTGCATCTCTTCGCTGCGTCGGATCTCAGGGATCGTCGGAGATGGGCGGCGGCGGCGGCTGCGAAGGTCGAGCGGTTCCTCACGACGCACGTGGTGACCCGCTGGTACCGGGCGCCGGAGCCCAGCATCGTCTAACCTGTCCTCATCCCCACTGGGCCATGTTGTCTACTCCAGTTTTCGTAATAAAAGGGAGGGGGTCTGGACCCTCCAAGACAAGCCATTTCAGACCTCCCCCGTGGGAGAACCCTCCAAAACATCCTCCCCAGACCCCCCAGGCCCTCCAAGATAGCCTGGAAGAGACCCCCCCCCCGAAATGAGACCCCCCTCCCTTTATTACGAAATCTGGAGTAACCTGTCCTCATCCCCACTGGGCCATGTTGTCTATCAGCCCACCCCTCGAAACTCGAGGGGAGCAGCCTAGATCCCCAACTGGGGGGCCCATACCCCGAGGACCGACGCCGCGAGCAAGCGTTCGGCATCGCGAGCACCTGGGACCGGGGCCCTATACTCCAGATTTCGTAATAAAAGGGAGGGGGTCTGGACCCTCCAAGACAAGCCATTTCAGACCCCCCCTCGTGGGAGAACCCTCCAAAACATCGCCCCCAGACCCCCCCAGGCCCCCCAAGATAGCCTGGAAGAGACCCCCCCCCCGAAATGAGACCCCCCTCCCTTCATTACGAAATCTGGAGTACTTTTTTCGAGCTGGGTCGATTAATGATGGCCCCGGGGCCCGATAATGGGCGAACGCGCCCAGTGTGAGCAGGATGCCACGCCCTGCTTTCAGGGTAGGTCGGCCAGTGGGGCCGAGTCCACGCCGGTGGGGGCCCCGACCCACGAGGTCATGGTTTCCGAGCGCTTCGACCCCCGGAGGTCTCGACCCATTCCCCAGGACCCGCTGTTCATTCTGAGTTGTTTTTGGACTGTCTCGGGACCAGGCGAGGGCCCCCAGAGACCGAGAACAGGAAAAGCATTTTTTTTTTTCTCGCGACGCGGGGTTGTCTGGGGATAAGGATCGGTGAAGCGATGCTCAGGAGCTCATCTTGCTGCAGGACGGGTACACGGAGGTTATCGACGTATGGTCCGCTGGCTGCATCTTCGCGGAGCTCCTGGGCGCGCTGCACGGCGTCGAGGTCCAGGGCAGTTGTTTCGACCCGGCTGGTCCGGTTCGATGTCGATTCTGACCACCCTGATTCAGCCACGCGCAGAGGGGGGTGGGGGGAGGGGGGAGGGCTTCTGAGAAGCACCCTGCTTCTTAGAAGGCGCGGGCCTTCTCTGTAGACGTAAGGCCGTCGCCTTCTGAGAGGCAGCCTCCTTCTAAGAAGCCCCCCCCCCTCCCCCCACCCCCTTGTGCGCGCCGCCAGGGCATTTCCCGAGCCGCATCCATGGCCGCGATGGGCCCCCCCGTTGGCCCGAGACGGGGCGAGACGCCGCTGGGCGCGAGAAGAGGCTGCCGCGCCTCCTCCTCCTCCTCCTCCTCCTCCTCCTCCTCCTCCTCCTCCTTCTCCTCCTCCTCCTCCTCCGCCACCCTGATCTTGAGAGGAAAACCCACGCCCCCTCGCGTCGTGGAAAACTGAGCGACGACCGGTTTTTCAGTTTGCTGCCTCTGGGGCCTGGCCGGGCCTCGGGGCCCTCGAGCGGCTGCTCGGGACGGAGAAGCCGCTCCCGGGGAAGGACGGTCGAGGCCTCGGGGGTCGTGCTGCGACAGAGACACAGCTCACCAGCCTCCCCATCCTCCTCCTCCTCCTCCTCCTCCTCCTCCTCCTCCTCCTCCTCCTCCTCCTCCTCCTCCTCCTCCCCTCTCCACTGTTTATTGCCAGCCTCGAACGTATCCCTATCCCCTATCCTTAAGATTGACACGCCAAAAGGCGATGACAATCTTAGGGATGCGCCCTGAAAGACTCAGGGAATGCCTAAGATTGGCATCGTGACGAGGCGATGCCCAGCATAGGGATAGGGATGTGTTCCAGGCTGGTAAACAGCGTCAGGAGTCTGGGAAGGTGCAATCAACTCGCACAGTGAGGATGGGTAACCTTCCCAAGGGTACCCTTGCATCCTTGCCTCCTCGGTCCATCCTTGGCCACTTTCGTTGGCCGCGCCCCGTTCGAGAAGCTTCGAAGCGGGAATCCAAGGCCCTTGCATTCAGTCGGGCCTGTCCCTCTACAGGGGGAATATCCAAAAATAGTCAAAAAAGCCTGGGGACAATTTTCAAACTATTTTTGGGCATCTGTTGAGCATGTTTTGAGAATTTGTTCTTTGTCGTCCCTATTTGGACAGGCCCGACCTAACCCTTGCATCCTTACCGCGCATCCTTTTGTTACTGGTTGACTGTACAGGGACCGCTATCTCTGCTTCGTGATTGCGTTTGGGGTCTCTTGGGCGGCCGTCGTCCCCCCGCAGCTGGCTTCGCCTCGAGATCCTGGTCAGAACGCGCCCCAGGAGAGGTCTGGGGAGTAGCGTTAAGTCGGGCCTGTCCCCTTACAGGAGGAATATTCAAACATAGTAAGAAAATAGTCTGGGGAGTATTTTTTGGGTATTGTAGTGGCCTTCGGCCAGTGCCGCCGATCCGGGGTGCTCGGACTGATGTGATCATCCTTCGCCCTCGTCCCTCCTCTCTTTGCCCTTCCTTCCCCTTCTCAGTCCGCATTTATCCATTGGCCTTCGGCCTATCCCGCCACCGTGCGTGGGTGGTGGGTCAGAGGCCTCATGGACGCTGGTTGTGATCTCGTGGTTGGCTGGGACCTCTGGGGGCCTCTTGGGGGCCTCTTGGGGCTTCTTGGGGGCCTCTTGGGCCTCTTGGGGCCACTTGGGAGCCTCTTGGGGGGTGTCTTGGGGGTCTCTTGGGGCTTCTTGGGGGCCTCTTCTGGGCCCTTTGGGGCCTCTTGGAGGCCTCTTCGGAGCTTCTTGGTTCGGGAGGGGTGGTACTCGAGTTCGGAACCCCCTCTGAGGCCACGATCCTTGTGAGGGGTGTCAAAAAACGCTCCCACCCCGCATCCGCCGGAAACTCGCACCCCCCCCCCCTTACCCCCCCTTCCCCGGCAGAGCCACCCCGGCAACCCCCCCAGAGGCTGAGGCTCAGCCTCGAGGCTGTAGCTGAGACTCTTTGAAACTCACACGCCGGATCGGCGGATTCTTGAGTACGTGTTGGGAATTTTTGAGTATTCGTAATTTTTCGTCCAAAATCTCCCTGTAGGGGGACAGGCCCGACTTAAGAGTAGCGGTATCGGTGCCTGTTAGTTTCTTTCAGATCCGATTTGATTCCGATTTTCCGGCGACCCGACGCTGCCCGATGATTGCGTGGCGTTGCTGCGCATCCTGGCGCGGTCGGTCGATTCGATCCTGGCCCCGGGCCGAGGCGGCCCGCTCTCGGAGAACGCCAGCTGCACACCTGCACAGGTCAGGGCCAGGCCGATTCTGGGCCCAGGGTGGACCTGGTCCCTGGCCAGAGGAGGTAGAGTTGGCGCCCTCCTGCGATCCGATGCATGTTCTGATCTGATCCAGTTTCCCAATTCCCAGACACCCGAGCTCACGATTCTTTCATGACGTCGATCCCCCAGAGGTCTCGACCCTCTCCCTGAGGTCAGCTTTTGATCCCGACTCGTTCTCACGGTCCCGGGGTCTGGCGAGGGCCTTCGGAGGCCGAACAGAGCAACAAACGTGTCGCCTTGATGTTCGCAGTACGTTGGATGTCTGGGTTCGACGCTGACCGATCCCGCGAGGTGCGGGAGCGAGCGCCGCTGTTCCCTGGCGGCGCCTGCTACCCCCTGTCCCCCTGCGCGGACATCGGGCAGTGCCAAGGGGGGGGGTCACCACTAGAGGACCATCTGCTCCTCCTGGACATCGAGGTTCCAGGATTGAAGCTCGAGGAGGTTTCCGGACGTTCGGGGTCGTTTTGGGGGTCTTTGGAGTGATCTTTGGGGGCCCACCTCCTCGAATGGAGTTTCCTTGAGGAAGTTTAGGCTGCGACTCCTGGGAGGTTATTCAGCATCGGCGCAGAAAACCTGGCCTGATGCGGCAGCATTCCGTTTAGTCCCGTGCCATTTGGTTTGATCCGGCTGGATCCTGTGTATACATTCGGGCTGGTCTGGCTCAATGGCCTCTCATACAGAGCGCGGATGGCCCCTGATCGCTCTTAGGAGGAGGAGGAGGCGGAGGAGGAGGGGGAGGATGAGGAGGGCGGAGGAGGAGCGAGGAGGAGGAGGAGGAGGAGGAGAGAGGGGAGAGGAGGAGGAGAGGAGGAGGAGGAGGAGGGGGGAGGGGGAGTGGGAGGGGGAGGGGAGGGGACACGCCCCCTGGCCTTGACCTCCAGGACAGCGACGAGGAGCGTGGCAGCTGCTTGCCGGTCCTCTGCCGCTGCAGCCGCAGGAGGGGCCAGCTGCACCAGCGGCACGACCAGCTGGAGGTGATCTTCGACGTGATCGGCACCCCGTCGGACAGCGAGGCGTCGAGGAGGAAGAACCCAATCCCACTCGCGTCGCGAACAGAAGCACGACGGAATGTTTTCGGCTACTCTTCACGCTCCGCGTATTCCCACCGGCACGCTCAGAGACCCTGCCCGTGAGAGCTGACTGGGGGCGAAGAAACACATGTGGTGAAACAACTCGGGCAACCGGGGCGAACAAAGTGTTCTCTGGGAGCAATGGGGTGGCCTTGGACGGTCTCTTCGGGCCATCCCTGGGGCCTGCGTGGGGGTGAGGGAAGGAGGAGGAGGAGGAGGAGGAGGAGGAGGAGGAGGAGGAGGAGGAGGAGGAGGAGGAGGAGGAGGAGGAGGAGGAGGAGGAGGAGGAGGAGGAGGCGGAGAAGGAAGGCGACGACGACGACGACGAGGACGACGACGATGACGACGACGACGACCACGAAGACGAGGAAGAGGAGGAAGGAAAGGAAGACGATGAGGGAAAGGAGGAAGAGGAGGAGGAGGAGGAGGAGGAGGAGGAGGAGGAGGACAAGGAGGACAAGGAGGACAAGGAGGACGAGGACAGAGCCCTGAAAATCGCCTCTTGAAGCCTTCTTGGGACTCTTTTCGGGGATGCTGGGCTCCTCTGGGAGCTCTTTTGGGGGGGTCTTGGGCCCTCTTGGAGCTCTCTCGGGGGGTCCCCTGGGAGCCCTGGAGGGCCGCTTGGTGCTATCTTGGAGGCCATCGTTTAAAAGCGGGGTTCTCCGATTTGCCTTGCCCTCCTGGGGCCATCAAAATCGCATCCTGCGGCGACCTTGTAACGCTCTGGGGGCGCTCTTGGGCGCTCTTGGGGCCATCCGCGGGGCCTCTTGGGCCCCTCTTGGGGCTCTCTTGGGCCATCTTGGGGCCATCTGGAGGCCCCCAGAGCGTGTCGGAAGCGAACTGGCGAGAAGGCAAACATCATTGTGGTCCATAGGTTTTGAAGACTCTTAGCCTCTTGGGGGGGCGGCCTTGTGGGGGCTCCGAGAGCACTTGAAACCGTCTTGTGACCCTCGCTGGGCCTCTTGAAGCCATGTCGGAAGCTATCTTGAACCATCTTCGGCTATCTTGAGCCGCCTTGGATGCCATCTTGGAGCATCGGATGTGCCCTCTTGGAGCCATCGTGGGCGAACATAGGACCCCCTGACACTTCGCTACCCTCCCCCCCAAAAAAGACCAGGGAGGGGAGGGGAGGGGGAGGGCACTCTTCCCCGAAAAGAAGAGGGTGCTTGGGAAGAGGAAAGAACGATTTCGCTGGACCGTCGCCTCATCCCACAGGGCCGGTGGGCTTTTCGCCTCCAGGGGCCCGTGCCAAGGCCTCGGGACCGTCCAGCGATTGCTCAGGACGAAAGGCTGGTCCTGGGCACTGAGTGGAGACCGCTGGGGATCGACGTCGTGGAAACATCACGACGTCTGGGGTTTGGGAGCGGCAGACTTTCGGAGGTCCGCGCAGAGCAGAGCTCGTGGGTCGGCGATGGGCCTGGCCCCCCCGGCGAGCGTCCTTTGCGGAGAGCACCCCGCCCCAGAGCAGGCTTTTGTTGATGACGGGGGGCTGTTTCAACCAGGTTCAGTAATTAAGCTTTGGTGGCCCTCTCCTTCTCTTTCTCCCGTTATAGACGCGCGAACATTGGATGTCCGGCCTTGGTCGTTATTTTTTCCGGGGCGCACTTCTGATTTATATATATATATATATATATATAAATATATGTACGTATGTATAATTGTGTATATATATATATGTATGTATGTATGCATGCATGCATGCATGCATGCATGCATGTATGTATGTATGTCTGTCTGTCTGTTCTGTCTGTCTGTCTGTCTGTCTGTCTGTCTGTCTGTCTGTCTGTCTGTCTGTCTGTCTGTCTGTCTGTCTGTCTGTCTGTCTGTCTGTCTGTCTGGATGGATGGATGGATGGATGGATGGATGGATGGATGGATGGATGGATGGATGGATGTATGTGTGTATGTATGTATGTATGTATATATATAGGTATGTACAGAAAGGGTTCCAGGCGACGGATGCGTTCTGAAGCAAAACATGTTCCCTCGCCTCCCCAGAGGATTGGCACAGTGATTCTTCCCGCAGTAATATGTTTATCCTGGGGCGGGGTCAGACATGCATTTTTTTACTATGTCATCCAGTTGCGCTGCCGCGCATGATATGCGCGGCAGCGCAACTGGATATTATCCGCACAGCGCTCGGGGAAGCCGCGCAGCGATACGCGGGCGTGACGTTCTACAGTCAGGGCGCCGGAACGAGGTCCGGCCTGGGTTCGGTTGGGGCTCGCTGCCCCTGGGTCTTCCCGCTGCTGTTCCTGGGGGAGGAGGAGGAGGAGGAGAAGGAGGAGGAGGAGGAGGAGGAGGGAAGGAGGAGGAGGAGGAGAGAGGGAGGGGAAGGTAGAGAGGAGGAGGAGGAGGAGGAGGAGGAGGAGGAGGAGGAGGAGGAGGAGGAGGAGGGAGGAGGAGGGGAAGGAGGAGGAGGAGGAGGAGGAGGAGGAGGAGGAGGAGGACGAGGAGGGAGGAGGAGGAGGAGGACGAGGAGGGGGGCGAAGGCGCATTTTGGGCCAAGAGGGGTGTGGCTCCTGGCTCGGCGCTCCTGGCTGCCGCAGCTCGGCGGCAGGCGGGGCCCCAGGCGCTGGCTCTCCTGCCGCTGGCCGGGCGGGCCCCTCCTCCGGCTCGGGTGGGCCTCCGCGGGGCCCCTCCCCCCCGCGGGGAGCCACGGCGAGCCATCGGCGACGTGTCTCAGGAGGAAGAGAAACATGTCGCAGGTGACTTTTCTCCCCCAATCCCCGAGCTTCGCCGGAAAAGTATGACCTCTCAGAAAAAAGAGGGAAACCCTGGGATACACCCCAAGGAGGCTATTCGGACGCACCACAATCGAGGATGAACGCCCCCCAATCGTATATCCCAGGGTTGGGGCTCAAATTTCTACTTCATGCGAAAACCCCACGATGTCTCGGATAGGGGTCGACATATGCCCTGTTAAAACACACAGACACAATGAATCCTCGATTCCCCAGAAAGTGTGGGAAACTGTGGGAAGTGGGGGGGAAGACAGAAGCCCAGAAGACGTGGGAAAATATATGGGGCATCTTTGTTTATTTGTGTGCCCTTGGGCCCCTTCAGTGTCGCAGCGTGTGGGTCGAGGTCTTCCCCCCCGTGCCGGTCGCCCGCTCTCGTTGCCGCTCGGTCGCACACGTAGCGCCGACAGGGGCCCGGTGGCCACGGCCCGTCCAGGAGGGTGCCGTTTCGCCCTCGGGGGCCCGTCGCCGGTCTCTCGCCGTCGTGTCGCCGATTCCAGGTCGCTGCGTTTCCCCCAGATGCCAGACCACCCCCATCGTGGCCCCTCGATGGAGGAGGAGGAGGAGGAGGAGGAGGAGGAGGAGGAGGAGGAGGAGGAGGAGCAGGAGGAGGAGGAGGCAGTAACCAACCACCCATTTGTGTTAGACATCTGACATGTTTTGGCTTCAGCTTGCGGGTCGATCCGATTTTCTGGAGTTCTTCCGCATGTCTTTGAAGGCGAACAAGGAAGAGACATGAACATAAACAGTTGCCTTTGTCGACGTTGTGTGTAGAGTGAGTCCAAGCCCTCACGGGGCCTCTTGGGGGCCTCTTGGGGCGTCTTGGGGGCCTCTTGGGGCTTCATGGGGTCTATTGGCTGGGGCCTCTTGGACGCCCCTTGGGGGCCCCTCGAGGGCTTCCTGCGGTTGCGGTATTTAGCGCGCGCTTCCATGTACATTGTATCCAACTGCTTCCTGCTGTATTGTGCCAGGATGTTTCCAGTTGCTCTTCGTTTGAACGCTCTCAGTCGGGCGAAGAGAACTATGCACATGCACCGATCCTGGCAAGGCCCATCCTTGACCCAGGATCGGTGCATATGCCTCCCTGGCCAAGGTAGGAGGGCGTATGCACCGATCCTGGGCTCAGGATGGGCCTGGCCAGAATCGGTGCATGTGCATAGTTCTTTTTCCTCTACTCAGTTGTTTTGTGAAGTTTCCTCGAGATGAAAGCGATATTCAGAGCAAGCCGAACAACGAGCTCAATCACCCCGACAGAGCGCCGGCCACGGTCCGGACCCCGCATGCTCGCCACTCGTCGCTCCGCGCAGATCAGACGCGATCACCCGTCCTGGCCGGCCTTGCGAGCCGCACCCCATCGTGGCCACGAGGAGGCCCCGAGCGCTGAAAATCAGACACGATCACCCGTCCTGGCCGGCCCTGCGAGCCGCACCCAGTTGTGGCCACGAGGAGGCCCCGAGCGCCGAAAAGGAAGATGGAAGGACAGCGAGCTCTTGCCTGCTGTGGCCCGCAAGAGGTGTCCGATCACGGGCCCCTTGTTGAGCGCAACCATCAGGAGGGGACAAAGACACACAGACACAATTTCAGCGTCGATCCCCAGGGAAGTGCGGGGAAATGTGGGAAAAGGGGGGGAAGACGAAAACCCAGAAAATATGCGAAACTATGGGGAATCCTGTCATTTGTGTGTCTTCATTTGTGTGTCCCAGGGCCCCTTCAAACCATGCGCCCTCCGCGCCGAAGCCTGCGGAGCGACCGCCAGAGAGCCGCGGAAGGAGGGCCGCCGCGAGGACGGCCGGAGGACGATTGGTGCAGGCCTGCCCCCCCTCCAGAGGTGGAGGAGGTGATGGGCCTGTTCTCCACCACCACCAGAAGTTGGAGGGGGGGAGGAGGAGGAGGAGGAGGAGGAGGAGGAGGAGGAGGAGGAGGAGGAGGAGGAGGAGGAGGAGGAGGAGGAGGAGGGAGGGGAAGGAGGAGGAGGAGGAGGAGGAGGAAGGAGGAGGGGAGGAGGAGGAGGAGGAGGAGGAGGAGGACCCCCTCGCCCTCCCACTGGCGGCGGTGGCGGCGGAAGACAAGCCCGCCAGGAGGGCGCACCTCTCCCGCACCCGATCGGGGGGCGCGCCAGCGTGTCGGGGCCCCCATCGGGGCCCCGGTCGGGCCACCTCCTCTCCTGCAGCCCTCGATCGCGCCCGTTGTTTCTCTCCCCCTT